AAAATTATGAGATTCTCAGTAGTTAGCTTGAGGGCAATCCTAGCCTATGACAACAAAAATGATTTGGCTACAAAAAAATTATCAAGGCAATTCCCTATAGTTTTATACTTGTTGGAATATATGTTATTTGGGTTTTCACCACTGATATGGATGAGGCTCTGTTTGTGTGATGAGAGGTATTGGCTCCGGTTTTAAGCAAATTGGTCAATGTATTACTGTTTACCTGCAGTTTCTGTGATGGAGAATTTGCAGGAATTTCTGTGATGGAAACTACAGCAGTTTCTGTGATGGAGAATTTGCAGTTTGATTAGTTGTTCCTTTTGATTGGCAACATCTTGATTTGGTTTCATTCATCTTGCTTGGCTTCGTTCAAATAAGCAAATAAGCAAATGTTGAAGCAAATGTTGATTTGGTTATAAATTGAAGATTATGGCTTGGTTCATGAAAATGCATCTCAAATCATTACGAAATTATTTTTTCTCCTATGGTAGCATACTAGCGTGTAATTCTAATGTTTCAAACCTATATCTACCTTGTCATTGAGAGGATTTCATACTCTTATCTTTCTTCATACTCTTATCTTTCTTTTATGTTAAGAATGGCAATGGTTATAGCATTGGGGAGTTAAGTACAAACAAAATGACAATGTTTGCTTGGTCTTTCCGATTCAGGGATCTGCTAATGCTAGCTTGGTCTTTTCAATACAGGGATCCGAATTTACTGGTTGTACTTGCTTTTAGTTTATTGTTCATATGCATATGCGAGGCTTTGTTTTTAATATTAGACTTTTAAATGGCATTTATACAGCTTACAAATGAAGCATTTTTCACAATTTTCAAGCTATCAAAATGGGTAACGAAAGAGAAAAACTGACATTCAGTTTTTAGCATACATGAAAAGGGAGGTGAAAATACACATATTTATGTAATATTTGAGGAGGTGGAAGTTGGTCAACATCGATATGTTTTCATGATACAAATTATGTATATATATATTGTCAAAGAATATTTATTGAATGTAACTTGCGAATGTAACTTGCAAGTAATGTAACTTGCAAGTTAAGAAAATGCATTGCAAATGTGCTTCCCTTGTATATATATGTTACATCATTCTACTTGAATGATGTCTTCTATTTTTATTTGTTAGTTAGGGAACTTTTATTATCACCAAAGGTAAAAAAGAAGGAAGAATTGCATATTGTAGTGTTCTCTTTTAAGATTTATACTTATGTAACATTACACAATTGCATAATAAAACATGTTTGATGTCTTACTGTGGATGTAGGTCTTTTGACCGAATCACATAATTCTTTTGTGTCCTGATATTTTTTTTTTCTTAAGCAAACACCTACTCTGTTGTTTGTATTGGTGGTCAATCCTTTGAAAGTTGTGTCAATGTGATTATTTGGAGATTGTTGTTGTTGTTGTTGGCTTGTGTTGCTGTTGTATTGAGATTCATAATTACGAGCTTCGTACTTGTGCTATTGCAATTATTTCTTCAACTATTTTCTTATGCATGTTGAATTACAATATGAATTTTTTTATGCAATATGCAGTTCTTCATATAGTTTCACCATGGTTAAGACAAGTGAAAGTGGTCCGTCAACGATGTAGGAAAAGGAAGTTACAAATATTTTCTGCAACATCTGCATCACCGAGATTGAGATCGGGAATAGGTCAACCACTTATTTCAATAAGGAAGGTTGGCAGAACATAGTTAAAAGGTTTAAAGAACTAACTAGAAGGAAATATGACAGACTGAAGTTTAAAAATAAATTGGATCAATTGAAGAAGTGAAAAATTTGCAAGAAGCTGAAACATGGATCCACGAGCTTAGACAAGGATCTCATTAAAAGGACAATTGATGCTTCAGATGAATGGTGGACCGAGAAATTAGAGATAAAATTGACATTATCATTTTGTTTATTACAACTATTTGTGATTTACCAATTATCCCCCTAAACCCCATTCTCAATGTAATGTTACAAGCAATACTGATAGCAAAAAAATACAAACAGAGCAGAATCGAACCAGATCTTGAGGACAAACTTGACATAATGTTTAAGGGGGTTGTGGTGACGGGAAAGTATGCATTCAGCCCCAGTGAAACAGAGTTTGCAGGTATACCAAATGACTTCCCGCCAGAGCCGGTGACAGCTGATGAAGAAATACATAGTGTTAACCAAAGGGAGTTGGGGGAGTTAAGCTCGCAGTCGAAGAGGCCTAGGCTAGGAAGAAGGAAGAAAGAGAAGGAGATTTTTGTTACAACTTCATTTGACCGATTCATAGATGTTTTTGGAGCTCCGCCGCCTGCCCTACTTCCTGACAGCATTATCTACGATTGTCTTCGAACTTACAACTATCCCTGAATTAGTTGCGGATAGATGTTTTCATGCATTGTGTTTGAAAAAGTTAGAGGATGCAACACGTAGGCAAATATTCATGGCGATGAAACCAGAGCTACGCATCGAGTATTTGCGTGTTCTTGTGGATAAATGAGTTTTTCTATGTTTTCTTTTGTTGTATAATGAACTCTTTCAAATTATGTACTCATTGATTATTTGGAGTTACGTTTTTTTTTTTAAACTGTACTTCTACATGATTCCTGAATGCCTTAGTATAGCTCTATACAGTTGTTTTGTAACTGGCTGAGTGTTCTCCGTATTTATTTCTCGTTAGCTCTATTTGTTAGAAATTGTTGAACTAACCGACATCTTTCTTCCTTTAGGATGATCCGCAACATGAACGTCATAAGAGAATGACATGGGCTGCAGCTATTGTCATATTACTGTTGGAGTATTACCGATCAAGCAGCGTTCTTATACCATGTATGACCTCCAGCTTTGTTGGGGATAAATGGGTAGGTGAGATACTTTCTGAACATATAATTAGGTTCAACAACATATTTCGAATGACTGTACCGATATTTATGGATCTCCTGTAAGAGTTATCTCTGAATCACGGACTCCAAGTTTCTTCGAGAACGACGAGAAGGGAGGTATTGGCTATAACGTTATATATTATGTCATATAATGAATCAATTAGAGATGCTATGAAGATATTCCAGCATTCATCGGAGACAATAAGTAGTTATTTCTCCAAAGACATACAGACACTTATTAGCTTAGCCTCTAAAATCGTGAGGCCAGGGGATCCATCATTTGCTAATATTCCAGAAAAAATCGCAATAGATCCTGTTACATGTCTTACTTCAAGGTAACTATTCTTTTCTTTACCTCCAAATAAAAATATAAATATTTTCTAACCCTGTAAAACAGAACTGTATAGGTGCAATTGAAGATACTCACATTAATGCCCGACTACCCAGCCAAGACAAGGTGGCTTACATTGGTCGAAATGGTTCGCCTACTCAAAATAGCATGGTGGTATGTGACTTCAATATGTGTTTTACATATGTTATGGTGAGCTGGGAAGGGAGTGCACATGACAGTAGGATTTTCTCCTATGCTACCAGGAACCATCTGACGACGTCCTTCACGTTCAGATACGGACTTCAGTATGGCAGATAATGATGAGTTGAATTTCTATGAAGAACCATCAGAATTTTTGACCCAGCCTTCAGTTCCTGAGGTTGAGAATGACTGTAATGAATTTGAAGTTAATGACGCGGAGGGTGTGGCTGAGATTGCTGCTCTGAGGGAGTCTATAGCAGATGTTATCTATGACATCTGAAATGTCATTTTGATGTATACATTTTGTTTGTGCATTATAGATTCATTTTGATGTGTACATTTTTTTCTCTTTTAAGGTCTGACATTCGACTTTTTTTGTTTTTTTTTTTTGCAGTTATACTAATATGACTTCTAGGATTTCAAAGACAGATAGAGTTGTTTTGTGTTATTGTGGAGTATCAGCTCCGTTACTCACGTTGCGTCAGCCTCATAGTTATGGGATATAGTTCTACGGATGTCGCAAGGATGTTTCAGTTCGTTGTGGTTTTTTCCGATGGGCCGACCGTCTCACATGTTACACTGCCAGCAATGATGGAAATCCGATGTTTTCCCAGGTTGATAGTGCAGCTGAAGACAGACGTAGTCAGAGTTTGAAATTGAATATTTTAATATTTCTCAGTGTAGTTGTATTTGTATTTATCTTGTTTTTATTTTTTTGGTACTCATGAGAGTATGAGAACTGTATGTCATCTTTTGGATCCGATCTGTGATGATTTTATGTTTCTGTAGTTTCTATTTTTGTGATACCAATAAGTTATTTTGAATAAGTTGCACTAAACAATTTTAATAGATAGGGGCAGAAATGTCATTTATACAGTCATAACTACCAATAAGTTATTTTGAATAATATGCTAAAACAGCAAGTCAGCTTATTCTGATAATCTGCAGATTATCAGATTATCAGAATAATCTGCTTATCAGCAGATTATAAATAATCAACAGCTGCCTCAAACAGACCAATAATCTCAACAAGAAACAAGTTTAGCAGTTCAATCAAGACATCAAGACATCAAGACTAACTTCGATAAACACCACCAAATAACTAAGCACAATTAATCATAAAATTACAGAAAAATTTGCACCCATGCTTCTACAAATATCCTAGTCAATCCAATCAAAAATAAGAAACCCCAATCGTAATAATGAAGCCATACTTAAATCCAAGGATAAATAAAAAAATAAAAACCCTCCCGGCATAAAACCTATTCGTGCAATAATCCCAGCCAAAAATCAAAAGACAACAATCAATTAGCATTCCCAATTCCTAACTCCACTCTGCGTCCCCTCCCCAATCAATCCTCTTTAAGTACAACCTTCGTACAAAATTTCAGCTCCTACCATTTCACTGTCCAGCATTTTCTTTCTTCCCGGTCCTTCACTATCACACATCTTCCACCCCTCCTCCTACCCATCACAGCTTATGATGCCTTCCTCAACGATGTCCCCTACCATACAAATCATTGCATAACAAAAGATACTGAATAAAATACAAAAAGAAGAAATAGACGCAAGATGCCAGAAATCATACCGAGAAAACAACGATTTGATCATTGCTGAAGGAATCAACACAGGGCCATAATAAAGCAATAGAATCAATCCCTCTACTTCTCCTACAGCCTACAAATCTCTCTCATCCCTGACTTGCTACAGAGTACTGAAGGGAGTGCAGGACTGAAGATGTGAGAACCATCTAAGCTAACTGGAGGAGAAAGGAGAAATCGAGCCGCACACCGCAGAAATCGAGCCGTCCATTCCCTGTCCTTTCTTTTCCGCTCCATTTGATGTAAGGTACCGTACTTACAATTTTTCTAGTTCCACCACCGTCGACCAGCATCGAAAGGTTGCCACGTGGCTATTTCATGGGTGCCCGACGGGTGCGCGGTTATCTACACATTTTATTTAAGCGTGAACTACTATTAATTAATATTATATTTTGTAATAATACTAATTAAATATCATCTTAAAATAAATCATTAGCCCACTATTTTAAATATATTAATTTTATAATCCTTAAACAGGCTGAGTTCAAATATTTGTATTTATAATTTTTTAATAAATTAATATTTATATTACTCTCTTGGTGAATGAATTTTACTTGAAATTAAAATTAGAATTCTAGACTGGAAATCTTTGCTATTTAATATAACTTAAACTGAAAGTAATCACTTCGTTGAATATGAGTAAAATTTCACTAAATCCACCGGACCTTAAAGTAAGTGTAAATTGTATTCATAAACCTAAGTGCGACATCGATTTAAGGAATGCAATGTTGAAAAATTAAACTATTTTAAGTAAATTTATTTATTTATGCTGTAAAAATTACATTTGACCATCAATTCTTGTCGGTCATATCTAGGGATGTCAACAAAGCTCGTTGTTCACGAATAGGTTGTGTTCGGCTCATTAAGTAGCTTGTGTTCGTCTCCTTCATTAAGTAAACGAGTCGAACACGAAGAAGTTTTTAAAGCTCGTATTATAAATAGTCAGAGTAAACGAGCCGAATATGAACAAGTTTTTAAAGCTCGAATTATAAACAACTCTTTGTTTGCTCGTGTTTGGCTTGTTTTAACTCGAAATAAAAAAGTTATATAATTGTTTATATAATATCATATATTATATATATAATTATTTATGAAATTATATATTACATATATTATTTATATAATAATATATTATATATATTTATATCTAAGTTTAAAGCATTATTATTCGTGTGGTAATGTGGTTATGAGTTTTGTTTTGCATACATTTGGTCTAGGTTCGAATCCAGCACTCTACATGTATTGTTTCAGTTTAGTTTTAACGAGTCAATTTTGAGCCAAACACGAGTCGAACATGAACATACTGTTCACGAGCCGATTTTGAACACAAGAAATTTCGAACGAGCCGAACACGAGCCAAGCTTGCCCTAGTCATATCAGATAATTATGTCAAGGGTATTTTAGAGTATAAAGTAGATGACATAAAATGACAAAGGGAAGAATGCAAGATTAAATATCACTATGAAATAAACAAAAAAAATAGTAGTTTGCCGTTTTAGTTGATTGCTCTTATTTTAAAAATAAATGTGCTACAAATTTTGGCATTTTTAGAGGATTAATACTTTAAATTATTTGATAATATAATTAATTTTTAAATTAAATTATCTGACAAAATAATTAAGTTGTTAACCATTCATGAATATATCCCGGAAAAAACAATGAAATGAGATCACAAAAAATATATTAATATTTACAAAACTACATTAATTCTTCGGGAAAAAAAAATTAATAACAGCAAATCAAATATTTATTAGATATTGATAAATATAAGAATTGTTACATGCTGGAAAATTTACTAGTGATTATTCAACATCTTTGTGTTACATAAACATAAGTATGAAGATTTTTATGTGAAAAAGGTCAACAAAAACAATAATAAGTCTTTATCCCACAAAGTAGGGTCGACTATATTAATCTTTTTTCTCCATTGTGGCATATTGAGTGTCGTAGTTTCATTAAACCAAGAAAGGAAAGAACACACCGTGCCTAGCCTAATCAAAGTAGTCTATTACAATTGTATAAGTAAAAAGATACAAAGATGTACTTTTTCTTACAACTGGGAGAGTGGGGTTATAGTTTTACATCATATACAATACTTGTCTATTTACAATGTATAGAAAACTTCAGGAATCCAGAAAGAATTGTCGTATTCTAAATACCGCGATCATAAGTAGTGTTTTTCGAAAGCTATCGCCCAATATTTATTATGGCATTATATGTTACAGTGTATTTCAAATATGGTATTACCAAGCAGAGGTTGCTCGCTGCGGCGAGTAGGAGCAGTCGACGGTGGTCGATGACAAGTGAGAAGAAGTAATCGACTGTAATCAGTGACTACAAAGGTCGAAAGTTATCGTTTGGGTCTTCCACATGGTGTTGCACTTTACTACCATATTTGGGTTAAGTCGTTAGCAGTAGGGAGTTGTTGCCAAGGGTGGGCATGGGCGGTCAACGGTGGTTGAAGGCAACTAATGGGCAGTGATTTATTATGGTTTGCGGCTACGGAAATCGGAAGTTATCGTTGAGTCATTAGTCCAAAATAATATTGGAAATCTACTCCTCATTCCCTCTCAAGTGAAAATGGTTTATTTATAGCCTCTTAAGGATGGGTCATTTTGGTCATTTGGTGAATAACTTTCTCAACCACCTCATCAAATAATTCATATTAATCTACCTTAATCATAATAGTTTTCTTAATAATTAGAGGGTTTTAATGATCTCATAATAAAAAGAAATTAAGACTGTTGGATTCCTCTCGTCGAAATGCTCGATTTAAATATAAATATGACAAATTTGCATTTCATTTGATTATTCAATTGTAAATAAAAAACCTCCAAGAGCTCATTAATAGCTTGATATGGGCTTGATTATAGTCGGATCAAACCAATTTCGGTATCATCGAGTTTATCTTATTGAGATGGTTTATTTGAGTACCAACTTATTGAAATTGAGGCCATAAATGATCTTGACATTTAATATATAATCTTTCTTGCTCAAAAATATCTTGAAGTTTGTGCTAGATGATAAAAATTTATTAATGATCATCAAGCGTAAATAAAATTATAAGAGAGTCGGGAAGAGCATGTGAAACCATGGGAGACTAGACTATTATATATTTTCAAGGATATGTAATAGAGTTGCTTCATGTCCTAATATAAAATTTATCAATATGTAATATCTTGAAAGATTAGGCATTAAAAATAAGGCTTATTTAATCAAATCATTATTTTTAAATTTAAGATATTGAATAAAATTCAAGGAATTATAATTCTAAGCACAAAATTATTTTAAAAACTTCAAAAGTTGTTCAATTGACATGAAGCATACAATGAAAATTATGAATTTCAAGAGTCAATCCATTTTTAACAGTGATTGTTAAATAATCTCTCTATAACCTCTCTCTCTCTCTCTCTCTCTCCAGCTCATAGTAAAATCACAAATACTTCATATATTTATATTTTTTTTATTTTAATATGACACCAAAAACCGAAAGGGCTAGGCACTAATCTCGCTGCAAGTTGGCTAAAAAAATTGTTGTTAAAAAAGAAGATAAATGGGCACTCATTTCAGTATCTTTGTACCAAATTAAAGACTTTAATAGTAGAAACATAATGAAACTAAAAGTAATTTAATCAAAGTCCAGATTAGCTCGGACCTAGAATTTGAAGTATGATATAAAGCTTTATAGTTTTAATTGAAAAGTTAGATGATTTTCAAATTTTATATGGTTATATTCAATTCAAGCATCTGGTCGAGAAGAACTTAATAAGCTCAAGATTACACAATTCTGAGATTAATGAAGTACTAAACAACTAAAAAAATAATTTATGATCAAAGGAATGATTGTCTAATGAAGTGCTTTGATATTTTGGATTAATTTATCAAAAAACCTTTCCAACAACAACAAAAACAACTATTGATATCGGGTCTCAAGCTCTAGATATAAAAAGTGGATGATTGCGTTAAGTAGTTTACATCTATCTTAAAATTATTAACGAAAAATCATGACAAAGCATCATTCCAAAACTTCAAAAATAATACCTCAATTTCAAAATGAAAGAAATGAGGAGCTAAGAGTTAAGTGCACACTCTTGAAAAAAATGGAAAGTCGACGACCTTTAGATATTATCTCTGGCCACTACTAGTGATTGTTGTAGCAAAGTTTTTATTCCCAGTCGATTGTTACCTGGTCTTTATAACTCAATCAAGGCATTTTGATCTCGTCTTATCTACATAGAGAGGAGTAAAATTTTATATCTTAAAATGTATAATGCATCATTTTGGTTGGGTCAGATCTCATGATTTTGTCACTTTCTCTTTTAGTGTTTCTTTTATTTATGTGTGTTAGATCGTCATGTAATATTAAGATATTGATTTATCATTCTGCATCATAAATTTTTGAGTGCACAATAGTTCGGCATAATATATAAAAATTGATCCCAACATACTTGAAATACTCTAATGACTAACCACTAATCTCTAAAAAAGGAGGCAATCACATTTTAACTTTAGAGAAATGTGTACATAGAATGGAGGGGGAATTTAACTTGAATTATTCAACACTTAATGAAAGCTAACCAATAGAGGGTGACTTCATAACACGATGAAAATATGGAATCACAAAACCAATGACAAGTGGACTTGGCCTTATTGAAAAAACTCATGTGAAACCTACTCATAATCGTATTGAAGTTTCTCATCCATCGCAAACTAACCCATAATTATTTAACACTCATAACAATTTTCCAACCTTGATGGGGATGACTCAACATCATTTCAATGATACTTCTCATTAAACTGAATGAGATGAGTTATGACATATTGTTCAAGAAGAATTTCTATTAAGAGCCAAAAATTGATCTGCTCATCAACATATCTTTCAATAGTCTTATTCCTTAAATAATGTGATCCTCCATATTATCATTCTAATGGAATTTAAGCCTGTTATTATTGAAACACTTGATAGTGTGTTTGATCTCTGTAAATAGATTTACCACTATAGACTTGTTATGTACATTAAACAAGCCTCTAATGTCTTTTTTTGTCAAGTATTTTCTGTTACTCTTAAAGGTTATTCGCATACTTAGTTTTACTCTATTTTTATGGGATCTATTCACATCTTCTATGAGCTTGTTAGACTTTTTGTGGAACAATTTATTAAAAACTGAAGAGTTATTAAAGGTCCTTCTCACTTTTCATGA